GCATTCCTGTAGTATTTGAGGCCAATGTACTTTTAAACACACATCATATGTGATAAAGCATTATTCTTTCTAACAAACTTCCACATCACCCAGCTGAGGTCTACTAGATGAATAATTATTATGGGGAAAAGTGTATATCATTATGGGGGATACAAACACATTTTATTAATTCCTCAGTATTTACTGAATGTTTCTCTCACTTGCTACTACTTGAATGATCTGGTTAGCTCAAATTTCTCCAGTACTGTCTTTAAAACAGTTCTTATGACTTCACTGGTAATTCAGCATGCTGAGTATCTTCATCTACACACTGATTCCAACTCAGGTGATCGTACATTTTTTTTAACCCTTTCTCATCTGTCAGCCAGTTATCAAAAAGTGATACCTGGCAGTGACCCTTACTCTTCTGCAAAAAAAGTGATTCCCTCTGCAAACCACGATGGAAGCATCCAGGGACACTGCTCATGACCTGCATTATTCTGGATTCATAATTAGCATTTCCGGAAGTCAAAGAAGTCATGAGTCTGTGTTTTTCCTTAGGAGGACACACGATTGGGTTGTACTATCAGCAGTTTCCTCCTTTAGAAATAAATGAACAAATGTTGTGCTCAGAGTAAAGCGTTAGACAGCTCTAACTCAGAATTGCTTGACCATCCTCTTGCACAGACTTTCTGACCTATGCCAGTGTTGCCTTTCCCATTTCCTTCTGGTTGAAATCTCGTGGATAAGGCCTATTTCTAAACCAGTTTGTTTTGCTACTTTAAAGGATAAAGTTTATCATTTGGCAACTTCCCAACAGGACTGAATGCAAATTGTTTTATTGTTTCTGATCATGTGGAATCTGCATCAATGTTCTAAAAACCTCCAAAGAATTATCAGTTGTTACAGAATTACCACTCCCAGAAAAATATCATACACTTTCTGGACAGTTCTGGAAACAAAGTGTACTTGAACATTTTTTTCTGGTAACATGCTATAGAAGCATCTCCACAAAACCAAAAATTAATTTGATTTGTCCAGCCCCTCAGCTCTGCCACAGCTGCAGACTGCAGGTCCTGAATTCACAAAGAGGAGAGGCACTTTCTCCCTCATTGCATAATGGGAACCTGTAAACATCTTTTGCGTTACAATGCCTTTGGCCAAAGTTATGATCATACCTACGATATACTTACCACGTGAAGGAATGTACGTTAATCATCATTCTGAGCAACCAGAAATACTGCCATCCTCCATATTTCACTATATTGCTGTTACGAAAGAAGTATTAAAGCAATTCCTTGTGCTTTATTTGAAATCAAATGGTATCTGTTATTTTTGTAGTTGTCAGCCGAGTGTACCGAAACACAGCCTTTAAATAGCTGCCGTCGAAATGGCCTGGTTTTTAGATTCAAACAGCCAAACCTCTGCAGCTCAACACTGAGTCTGCTTTTATTGCTGGGTACCAATTTTCACATTATGGTGCTCAGTGACGAAGTGGAAGGCGGTAAGCCTTCCATTATAAATTGGAAAACGGAACTGCAATTCACTATCTAAATACACACTCAGCACACTACCCTGTAGGAAAGCGCTGCCTAATGAGCCATTAGTATAATCTCCTGTTACAAGCTACCGGAAAATTGTCTCTCAGTACTAATTTGACATAGACAAGACTGGTAAAGTGATACGTATGTTTATTTAACATATACTCTCTATATATAGTTTTTTTCATTTTTGTATTTTTTACATGTATTTCCTTATGTAATGTAGGGGGAAAAAAAAAAAAGAGGAAACACTAAACCTTGTCTCACCTTACACATTTTCATTTCCAAGGTGCTCGGCCTAACACTGTAAATGCCATGAATTGAGCAGCTGAAAAATTACTATTAACACAACGAGACTGTAATGAGATGATAGGAAGAGGACTGCAAAAATGGTGGTATTGGCAATACAGGTATTACCCAAAGCAGACAAGGGATGGGTTACGCAGGCTTTCTCATCCCTGCTCCCCACCCTTTATTTAAAAGCAAAACTTGGTCCTGCGGTTGGATACAAGCCTTTGCATTTCATGGATTAGTTGAATGAAGTGAGAGCAGATGCTTCGTGAAGCAGTAAAAAAAAAGACATTGCATGCATTAATCCATGAACATAGCTGTGACATTTCCTTGAGCTGGGTGTGCTTTTGTATTGGAAACCACGTTAATCTGAGACTGCAGCCACTTCGGTATCCCACAACTGTATGTAGAAGTTAACTACAGGTCTGCACCACAGCTTAGTAACACACAGCACAGTCTAGATGAGGAGACAGAAACGTGTAATTCAGGATACTACAGTGTGGGACCTTTATCACCTTGCAAGCACTTTGAGGCGTGGCTCATAGTTACAAATGCCACTTTTAGGGACTCGGAAAATAGGTAAACACCTCTCAAAATTCAGAACAGAAGCTAAGATTAACTACTTGAACTGTTCTTCGCATATGTTAAAGTTTCCCTTTTCACAGTAGCTATAAGGCACAGTATTTCAATGTTAGCGTCATCTCTTGCTGTCCAAAATTAGACCTCCTTACACAGTTTCTCTTATTTGTCTGAAAGTTTGCCTTCGACACCAAATAAAATCTGAAAAACATGTCCACTTTGATGTTGTTTCAGGAATTCTAGGAACTGGCCAAGATCCATGTGATAGTCATTCCTCAGGCCATAATCACCATGTGCCTGAAACTGTAGGTCTTCAAAAACACGAAAGAGACGAAGATTATCGACGCTTCCCTCCGTTTCTACATTCTCCACATGCTTGCATGAAATATGCTTCCAGTTGGGATACCTAATAGCACGCCAAAACTCGTCACAGTTTTCTCGGAGTCCCTCCACACAGATCACACCAGGTTTCCCCGTGAGGCAGAAGCCAGTCAGATTTAACTTCTTTGCACAGTCAAAAATCTTCTTCCTCAATTCCTGCCTATATATATGATGGCTGTAGATCCACATGCGATGCAATGTTTCTTTAACCACGACTTCTTTTGAAGCACTTTCAGAAGAGATCTTACTGTTTTCCAAGTAAGGCAGGCTGTTTTCTTTCACCCACTGCACAGCTTCATATACGCACAGTTCACCTGAATCTAAAGAGCTCATGTGAGAAGCGAGACAAGTGTTGAGCTGCAACTGCTGCTCTCTGTGCAGTGCACTGGATCTTGCAAAAAGCTGAGGAGCTACGTGAGGATACATATGGGGCAGCAGTACCTGCAATTCCACTTTTACCTTAAAAACAGAACACACACACAAAAAGGAAATTAATTCTGCAGCTACCGAAAGACATGCTAGATTCTTCTTCCCTGTCAAATGCAGATAATGAAGAGATGTAATTAAGATTGCGACATCCTAAAGACTGGAATTACTTCTTCCGCTTTCCTTTTTTCTGCTCCTTTTCTTTTGTTGCACCATGCTGGGGCCTTCCCAACATATCTAAAGTTTCTGCTGTTTACAGAAATAATGCCGTGGCTTGAAAGAAGGAACACAGTTACCCTCTAGGGGTATTTCTAGTGCGTGTTCTCAGTACATGCTCAGCGTTGCTGCAGCGATAAAATACCAGTCTATCAGAGTCAAGGGGCAAGTGGCTTTTGAGAATCTTGTCCCTTACCAAATGCACATCTGAGCAATGAACTCAGCCCAGTTGCTGGATCTACTTCAGGGAAACAAGGCCAAGCGTTATACAAATAAGTGTTTATGGTTGTACATATTGTATATAGAGGCATTATTACCATTTTAAGCAAGTATTCACCCTAACAGAGGAAGTGTTTTCAGGATTATAGGGGACAAAAAGACCTATGTGCATTTTAGGCCCAGGAAACCTCTAGATTATCTTGCCTGATCTCCTACAGACCACAGGCTATTGAATTTCTCTTCATTATTCCTACAGTGTCTTAAAATGAAGCACCTTGGTTCTTTGGAAACAGAACCCTGCCTGTGGTCCCAGAACTGGAGAGGATTCATGTGTCCTCAGCGCTTGATGCTCTTGTATATCACTAGGGGATTTTCACTACAGCACACGATCAAATTCTTAATCCTGCAGAGGGAAGTGAATTGTGAAACAACTAATTATCTTTCCCAGTTTCTTGACAATCTGCCATGGAAAAGAAGTTCTTCCTACAGAAGCCCTCCCTACACAGTTCATAAACCTTGTCTCTGAAGGCTGGTGAAAGGGTGCATTTTAGAAAGATACCAAATCTTCTACATAAGTTTCCAAGTAATCATGAGGCCACCTCATTACCCAGTAAATTGTTCTGATGTTTAATTATGCTCATTCCTAGAAAAATGCACATACTTCTAGGTTGAGTTTGTTGCGTTTCAATTTCCAGTCACTGCATTATTATATACTCAGACCTACACTAATGGCTATGTTTTCTGTGCAAGTATTTACATCACTTAGTTGTCACCTGTAACCTTTTCTTCAATAGAATAAACTATTGGAACTCTTCACACTGTAAGTTTGGGGGTTTGTATCGCAGTTTATAGGCTGATTTTGTTTAGTGTTGGTGTGACTCTTCTTAGTAGTATTCTGCCATTTGGGGCTACTTTTACATTACTGTATTTCAAATACAGGTCAATAAATGTTAGTAAACGTGACAAGGGGTGGAAGAGAGAAAGAATAGGGCGCTCTTGCTAGAATGATGTGAAGTGTAACATGTATTCCCATGAGGGGAGTGCTGCCTTTGTAACCCCGTAAACTAACAACCCTCATGTGGACACAACCCTACCTAAGCTCTTGTGAATGCTGTGTGCTACTGATGTCAGTTGTCTATTCCTAGCTGCGATTTTTGTAGTCCTTCTTGCCCAAAGAAAGTTAAGACTCAAATAAATAATAAAAACTAAGACTTTTTTGTTACTCTTTACTTTTGAAACAGCAGGTATTAGGTGGGTTTTTTCCCTTTTTTCAGGGCAGAGTTTTTAAGTGTCTGCACAAGGAGTAAAGAAAACAACACATGTGAACACACCAGCACACGTGAACACATCGACATGTAAGTTCTCACCTTTGCCTCCCCTACATCAATAGCAATTGAATATTCGAGCTGCGGGGGCAGAGCTCCACCAGCGTTTCTCAGGTAGCGCTGCACACGGGGCACAGCGTCCTCATCCAGATGTATTTCACCTTTTTTGGGAAACATCGAAAGGAGCATTTCCACTTCCAGCAGCTGGAGCTCCAGGCACTCCTGCAGCGTGACAGCCATCGCACTGCCCTCCACACGCACCTGGGACGAGAGGCCTGGCGCCAAACCCCGGGGTTTTGCACACAGGGAGGCTTGGCACCGAACAAGCCGGCCTCCGCCGGGAAACCCCAGGATTTTTTAAGGGCAGGCTTTGCATTCAATAGGGCTGAGTACAAAACGCTTAAGAAGTTCGTCCCTTACAGGCGCGGTTCACAGCCGACCTGGGGAAAGGAGCCTGCGCCAAGGCGGG